AAAAATTTTAAGTATACATCATCAGCATTTTATTTTTCATCAGATTTTACTGATTTGTCATTTGTTCATAAAGCTGTACTTTCTGGGGTACAACTGCACACCTTGACATGAGCATGTGATTGACTCCTGTGTCAGTACACTGTCACATTAACCCTTCTATCCCTCACTGTCCCCCACCTCTTCCCCTTTGGTAGCCACCACCATATTTTTCACAAAATCTCACTTATATTTGTTCTGTTATGCCAGTTTGTTCTCTTTGGTTATTTCTAGTCTACAAATGAGAGCAATCATCTGGTAATTGTCTTTCACTTTCTCACTTCTTTCACTTAGCATAATCACCTCAGGTTCTATTCATATTGTCACAAAAGGCACAATTTCATCTTTATTAACTGCTGAGTAGTAGCCTCTCTATTGTATATGTCACACTTTCTTTCCGAAGTCGTCTGTTGATGGGCATTTCAAGTTGATTCCAAGTCTTAGTTATTGGGAATAATGCTGCTATGAACATTGTGCTACATAAAACCTTTTATATTAAGGTTTCATAGTCTTCTGAAAACTATTTTTTTATTAGGAAAAAAATGTTGGTTCCTTGGAGATATCTGATTTTAGTCTTTGGAACCCTAGTGGGCAGGTTTTATATAAGTAAATTAATACAAATCAAATAAATAATGAAACAAGCATATTTATACATAGATATTTACCAGGTCAGTGGTACTCAAGTCTGGTCTGCAGACTTCAGTGTGTTTATATAATAAAATAAGAACTTGAAACTAAGCATTTCGAAACTTAAGAAAAATTTGGCATCGCCATAACCTTGTTTTTCTTATATTATCATAAAAGTACAGGTCTGTGACACATTGGAAATAATAAAAAACGTTTCTTTCACCATCAGATGATCATGATGTTTTTTCTTATAATGGGTATTTATATGTTAATTTGGTTTTTTTTGCAGGGTGTAGCTGGGAATCCAATGGTGAAATCTGTGCTTGATAAAACAAAACATTCAGTAGAAAGCATGATTACAACGCTGGACCCTGGAATGGCTCCATATATCAGTATGTACTTTAGACAGACCAGCATTTACCATATTTTTTTAAAGTAATACCAGTGTCGGTCATTATAATTCCACAGGTCTTTATAATCATTGAAAACCTCACATTCTTACACAGTTGTTAGTTTCAGTATTATTAATTCATCTTTTTCTTAGTCACATTAAAGTTTGAAAACACAGAATAAAATCTGGAGGAGTAAAAATGCTATGAATTATTATTATACTTAATGGTTTTAATTGTAAGTATAGTTGATTTATATGAATTTTACTGTATTCCCAACTGACATTTGAAGTGATGCTATGCTCATGTTTGATTTTCCATTTCTCCTGTAGTCTATTTTAATTAAATGTGTTTATGCATGTCTCAGGAATTAACTCAGATAATGTTTTTAGTGGTAGTTAATCATTTATTAATAATATCTGATTGTTAGGTTTATTAGGAAAGCTGTTGTAGCCACCTTTGAACCTTTAATACCAAGAATCCAGATCGTTAACATAGACATGCTTTTCTAATACTTAATGTACATATCCGATATGTGGAAAAAACATAATTGCCTAGCAGGATTAGTAACTGTTAAAGTTAATAACATATAGGCCCAGACTACACCAGCTACTGAATGGAGCTTTTCAATGACAATAAAAAGTTAATAGCTTTCATAGGCCTTGGCTGTGTTGGTAGTCTCTGTCTAATAAATGTCAAAGGACAAGATCTAATAATGATAAGTACTGTTTATTAAATGCTGCTCTGCCAGGCCCTGATTCTCATAAGAACTCTGCAAGGTAGTTATTATTATCCTCAAGTTTTGTTTATTTATTTGTTTGTTTTAAGGATTTATTTATTTATACAAGCACTGGGTACCATCAGAAGCGTGGGAGGGTGAGAGAATTCACCAAAGTCAGAGCGGAGAGCAGAGCGGGCAGACTGATGAAGTACACTGCTGAGGGGAGCAGCGGGCAGCGGGAGAGGTCTGCGCGCCATGCGGGACCCTCACCCGGTGGCTGGGGATCGAACCAGCGCTGAAGAGGCTGCGGGCAGCTTTGCAACTCAGCGCTCAACAGCTGCGCCACTGGGGAGGCCCTATTGTCCTCAAGTTTTAGATGAAGAACCAGGGTTTAGAGAGATTTAAGAGGTCACACAAGTTGGTGCAGCTAGATTGGGCCCATGGACAATTCTCTATGTTGTTTCTGTTTGGGTGAAGAGGAATATTGAATCAAGAATTAAATCCTCTTGAGATGTTCTTTATGTTTATAACTGTCACAGGAGTTAGAAATTGGAACCCAGGGCCTCCCCGGTGGCGCAGCGGTTGAGTGCTGGGTTGCAAAGCTGCCCACAGCCTATGCAGCGCCGGTTCGATCCCTGGCTGCTCCCCGGCCACTGGAGGAGGGTCCCACATGGTGCGCAGACCTCTCCTGCCACCCGCTGCTCCCCTCAGCAGTGTACTTCGGTCCTTCTGCCTGTTCTGCTCCCCTCTCTGGCTCTGGTGAATTCTCTCATCCTCCCGCGCTTCTGACTGTACCCAGTGCTTGTATAAATAAATAAAATAAATAAATCTTTAAAAAAAAAAAAAAGAAATTGGAACCCAAGTATACATTGGTTTTTCTGTATTCATAATAACCAAGTTTGACATCATCAACATAATGACATAATTGATGGATCATATGTATTCTTTACGTTGTGAATGAAGAAAGGAAAGAAATGAGTATTTTTGGAGCTCTTGCTATTTCAATGCATATTGTATTAGTGTGAGAAAGTAATTACTTTATTTAATCCTTAGAGAAACAAGCTCAGTGATTTCTCCCAGAAATCTTGGACTGAAATCCAAGATTGTTTCTCAAGCCAGGAACCTGCATTAAATAAGAAAAAAACAAAAAAGCAAGGGAGTAGGATGGGATAAAGATAATTAGATTTATATTTTTAGCAGATATCATAACTTACAATACATAATCTTAATCAGGTCATTATAAAACAGTAAAACTATGAAAATTTAACACTCACAGGCAGCAAAAATAAGACCATTCTAACAAAATTCAAAACAGGGGCCTCCCTGGTGGCGCAAGGGGTTAAGACTCAGCTTATAAAGCTGTCCTCAGCCTCTGCAGCACAAGTTCGATCCGAGTTTGATCCCTGGCTGGCCAGGGAGCAGCTCACATGGCGCAGCAGACCTCTCCTGACTTGCCCCCTGCTCCCCTCAGCAGTATACTTACGTCAGTCTGCCTGTTCTGTTCCCCACTCTGTCTCTGGTGAATCCTCTCACCCCTGACACTCTGGCCTGTACCCCTGCTCTTGTATGCATAAATAAATAAACTTTTAAAAAAATTCAAATTAAAAATTAAGGTACTTTTGTTCAGATATTCTAGAAATCACAGTAACAATTTCAGATGTATTAAGTAAGTACAAAATCAATTACAAATGGATTTTAACACAGTTTAACCTGCTATATTCTTTTTATTAGTTATCCCTTCATTAAGTTTAAGGCAGTACTAAGGCTGACAATTTAAGCTGATAGTTAATGGAGCATTACTTAGCTAGGGCCAAGAGATATGTCCCATGTCAAGAAAAAATATATTCTTCCTCTTCATATGTGATCCATTGCTCTTTGATTTTATTAACTTACAAAATTCAAGTGAAATGAAATCTGTGGAACATTGTGTCTACCAGGAAAAAGATCCACAATAAAAAGAAAAACCAAGTTTTTGGTAATATTTTCAGTTGTCTCACAATATATTTATTAGGGGAAAAAAGAGCATTGTTTCTGGGACAAACTTTAATAGTACAGTTTTCTTGAGAAATCTCTTACCAGAGATAGCCGTTTAATGCTAAGTAACAGCCAGATCTTTGAATTCACTCTATCATAAAATGTTAGATTAAGAATTAAAAACATTAGGTATATTTGAGCAAGTCAATCTGTCTAAATAGTTCAGAGGTTTTTTAAATAGTTGAAATATTTAGGTATATTTGTGTTAGGACAGCAGTAGGTATATAACTTATAAATAACTATCCATTTATTTTTTGCTATATGTTATTTTTAAATGACAGGACTAGCTTGTTTTCAAGGGGATCTACTAATATATTCTGGAATAGTATTTCATAAAATACAGAAAAATGCTCTATGACACATATGATACTCAGACTATTTGAAGGTGTATACCATCTTCTGCTTGCAATTGAGACTTCCTCAAATAATGCATTAAATTCTGATGATTAAAACTAAAGACAGGTTTGTAGAAAAGGGCATTTTGGAGTCTGACAACCTAGGTTTGGATCCTTGACATCATTGCTGAGTAACAGTGGTACCCAGGGCAGGACCTTATCAGCATCAGATGCATCTGCCATATAAAAAGATTAACCTATATCTTGTGTCACCTGTGAAGTTAGTAATAATTATGTAAATAAAATGATAGCATATAGTAGTAATTATGAGAATTTCATTATTTTAATTTGGAATTGAAATTTCTTACCTTTACAGAATCTGGTGGTGAACTGGATATTGTAGTGACCTCAAATAAAGAAGTGAAAGTTGCTGCTGTTCGAGATGCCTTCCAGGAGGTCTTTGGCTTGGCTGTGGTTGTAGGGGAAGCTGGACAATCCAATATTGCCCCACAACCAGTGGGATATGCAGCTGGATTAAAAGTGAGTAATAGAATACCCTTTTCAGGATACAGAAACTGGTAGATAACATTTTCATAATTCTGATAGTGGATGATAATATAGTTTATAATGAGTAAACAGGTTTTTACATCCTGAAATGTTGATCAGCTTGGTTTTTAATTGTATTACTCTATAGAGTATGAAGATTATAGTGGGGTTTTTAGTTTAAAGAAACCTATAAATGTTTTGATTTGTGGAGGGGATGAGAGGAAACATGCAGAGGGTAAAAAAACGAAAGTAGTTCTGAAAGTGGGCTTAACCCAGAGTGGACACTTAAATCTGTTACTAAAATTACAATATCCCTTGAATCTTACAAGCTTTTCATCTCTGTCCCGGTAATACTTTACTACACTTAAGTGTATTTCTTCACGGCTCATGGGACTCTCATATCTAGAAGTTTCCAAAGTAGTTATAGGTTCTAGTAAGTTGATTCTTCTTTTCTCTTAATACTTGGTGTGGGTACTTGGCAATCATCCAGAAGGCTTTCCTTAGTTTGCTTTCTTTGATTCTTACCCTTCCTCTTAATTCCCTTGCTTTTAAGCTCTGACTACCTCGCACCTTATAGGCACAATGACTGTACATAACCGGAGCTTATGAAGGTCTCATCAGGTTATGGAGACCCACTATATCATATAACTTGCAATAAACCCACTTATCAAAAAGAAGATTCTGCCTTAGAGTTTCCATAGTGAGAGAAGAGGAGCTTATGATTGAATACCATACATGATCCCTACACAGAACGGATGGATGATAGAGTGACTAATACTGAAGAAATATTTCACACACTTGTGCACTTAGACCACTTTGTCTTCTGGCCTGTTATTATTAAAGAGCTTGTCGTCCATAAAACCAGTACCATTACCAGTATACTAGATCTGACCCCTGTAGCCAGCTGTGTAAAGTTGCAAGAATTCTGCCCCCTCATACATTTTTTACCTTCAGCATATGAACATGTAAGAACAAGCAAACAGTCCATCTGCATACAGACATCTCTTCCTCCTTAAAAAATAATAACCCAAATAAAACTTAAAAATATTTCTTGATCTCACTTCCATCTCCTCATTTTGCTTTTGCAAGAAAACTTTTCCAGAGTTTTCAAGCCCTCTCTCTAATGCTTTCCTTCACATTATCTTAAACCCATCCTAGCCATACTCTCACGCTTAACCACTCCAGTGAGAATGCTCTTCGTTACCAGAGTTCTCCATCTTAATCTGCCAGTGGCATTGCAACAATTGACCATTGACTCTTTTGTAATGTCTTTTTACCTTAACTTGTGGATCCCACGTTTGTGACTTGTTCCCCTTTTTCACTAATTATAAACTCATCTCTGCTTCCTTTGCTGGTGGTTCCTTTTCAGCCCAACCTCCTTGTGCTCTGGTCTTTATCTCCGTTCACCCCCTTGGTAATCTATACTATCTCTGTGCCAACAGTTTCAAATTCATATTTCTAGCAGAGACTGCCCGTGAACTAGATTCATATAAAAGTTGCCCTTTTGACACCTTTACTTGAATGTCTTGAACTAAATAATGTCCAGTTCTGACCTGCTTTTCTTTCCTTACAACCTTCTGCCGTCATCCTTCTCCATCTCAGTTGATGGCAGCTCTATCCCTCTTTTTCCTCCAATGAGAAACCTTGAAGTCACCCTTGACTTCACTCATTTTCCAGATCCAGTTCATCAAGAAACCTTGTTCTCTTTGCTTTTCTATTACATCCAGCAGCTGACTACTTTTCACTATCTCAATTGCCGCCCCCCTGGTTGGAGCCTCCCAGTGTCTTGCTGGAACCTTACCATCACTTCCTAAACGTCTACATTTAGAACTTTATATGTTATTCTCAAGAGAGTAGTCAGGGTAACCCCTTCAAAGTGTAGGTCAGACCCTGTCACTTTTCATTTCAAAACTTCATATTTTACTCAGTGAAAACCTTAATTCCTTATAATGGCTTCCATGGCCCCACATGATCTGGGTGACTTGGCATCTGTTTCTTCTCCTGCTTCATCTCCACTAGACTCCCCCTCGTCCCCGACATTGGCCTTCTGGCATTTCTCCAGTTTCCTCTGCCATGCTGCTCTCTTTCAGGGGACTTTTGGCTGGCTGTTTCCTCTCTCTGGGGCACTCTAACCTCACATATATACTTGGTTGACTCCCTAACCTCCTGCAGGTCTTCACCCATGTTGGGATTCCGCAGCGGGGCCTGTCCTGACTAACCTGTGTCATGCTGCAGTCTGCATCTCCCCACCCTGCACTCCTGATCTTTTCTCATTTTTTTTCCTATAGCATTCAGCACATCTGATATAGTATGTAATTTACATTTATATTATTAATTTCTGGAATGAATTTTCTCATTGAATTTTCTCTTGTGTACAGTTAAGTACCACAAGAACAAAGGTCTTTGTTTACAGTGAACTCTTAGAATAGTGCTTGGTGTCCTTTAAAATGATTATCTATGGGGGGGTTGCAATTGTATGGGGAATATAAAAATAAAATTTATTATTTTAAAAAGAAAAAAAGAAAAAAAAACATTCATACTGGTAAAAAAATAAATAAATAAAATGATTATCTAACAATCTTATCAAGATGTTTTGGTATAAAACCCCAAACAACAGAACTCAAAATGCTAGGGAAATTTTTTTAAATTGATAATCTATTTCCTTAAGTGAGCAGATGAATACTAAAGATGTTTTCACTGTGTGATCTGTGTTGAATGTTGGTGTAATACTCTGTCCGTTCTTATGAGAACAATCGATTTTTCACTTAACAGAACTCTAGATTTCTACCTGTTGCTGTACCTTGATTGTACCTTTATGGCCAAAGAGTGGTCTTCACATTAGGTTAGAGGTTTCTCTAGTGACACGTAGGGATTTTGGTAGGTTTGAGTAGGCCCAGGTGGTTTTAAGGAACTCAACTTCTGTTTACTCAGCTTCCCTCTGTACTCTTCACTAACACAGTCTGCTGAATACACGCTTTGGCGAGGCGGCCTGCCTCTCTCCGTCTCCATCGCAGCACACCCTGTGCTCCCCCACTGGAAAAGAAACACATACTTCTTACCACTTACTGAGAACTCCCCTACTGTCATTTGAATGGACAGTTCACAATATTGTTTTAGAAATCAAGAAGACAAATAACAAAGAGTAGGTAAAATTCTTATGCAAGTCTTGTGGTTTCCAATTATTTATTCTCAACAGACTGAGAAAGGACCACATGGAGTTGTCAACTGACACATCATTAGTAAGTTTCGCTATTACATCATCTTGTGATTTTTAGGAATACTAACTCAGAAAATTTCAGAAATTTATATTGCTGAAACAAAATTCCTTTCGTTCCCATCTATTTATTTCTATAAACAAGTTTTCCTTCTTTAAAATGAGATACAGATAAGAATAGAATTTTTGCTATCGCCTTATTAATATTAATATTTCCTCATGGATTCCTGAAACATCATGTGTTCCTTCATGATCAAGGAAGGGGAGGCACAAAATACTTCTCCATTTCATTAAGACTTCCCTCCAGAATTACTTTTGCTTTTAGAGCAGTCAGCTATATGTAAATAATAATTGCAACAATAATATCTAGATAAATATTTTGACACAACCTTACTATATGATAGGAAATTTTTTTAAATTGAAAATTTCAATTTATGTCCTATTTTTTTGTCACAGACATTAAGGTAATCAGTGAAAGATTTTTAAGCACATAAATTTATCACGTGATAGGGTGCCTCGTTGTAGAAAATTAATATAAATTTGGCTCGGAGAAAATGGAGCATGATTAAATAAGTACTTGTTTGGGCATTTTAAAATAGATAATGGTGGGTATCAAAGAGCAACAGATTTTAGTTTCTTTCGGGTATGTTTAAAGAGAGCTTTGCTGGTTTCATTTAAAAATAGTTAAAATTTAAGAATAGTATTATAAACAACATATTTACAAATGATCTAATATGCAACTACAGACAATGCTCATTATTTGTCATAATTATACTTTGTAACATTCTGTCACATTGCTGAAACACTGAATTAGGGAAAACTGATCTGGAGTTCCTGGGGCGTATAGGGTTAGGTCCTTGGGAGTCTCTCTAGTCACATCATTTTTACCATCTGATCAGTACTTTCAAGTGTGCTTCTGTGTAAACATACTTTAATATATGTGTATTTTTCATTCTTTAACATTAAATTCCCATGGCTAGAGGCATTGTAACATACCTAAATGAGATTTGCCTCACACATTCTTACCATGAGGCACGTCAAGGCTTCATGTGCCTACGAACACCACACAGCACTTCAGCACTATACTTGGCCATAGTAAACAGCAACGTATTCAACAAAAAGCACAAAGATGTGGAATGCAGAGCACTAATTCGATTGCAAAAAGAGCATTGTTTCCAGTGAGAGCTAAAATAAGGCCGAGTGTCATTGGGAATGTGTGCATCAGGCAAGGCCAGTTTTTTGTGGCTCTGTGCACATCTGCTTTTGTGGTTTCAAATAAATTTTAGCAAGTAGGCAAGGTCCCAGATACATAATTCATGTGTAAAGAGGATGGATTGATCTTAGATTTAAGGAGAAATTCATTCTGATAAGATTTTTTTTTTCTATATTTTTTTCTTTACATCATCGTAGGCCCCACCCCATAGTTCTCCCACCACCTACCTGTGAGCCATCCCCATATTCCCTTGCGTTCTTCCTAGTGTCTCGTTGTGGTTTTCGTTTGCAGTTCCCTGATAAATAGTGATGTTAAAATTTTTTTCATATGCTTGTGGCCATTTGCCTTTCTTCTGTAGAGAAGTGTCTTTTTAGTTCTTGTGAGCCCATTTTTTGATTGGGTTGTCTGCTTTGATCTTCTGTTATTTTACATGATAGCTTACATTTATTGAGAATCCAGTGAGCCTGGTGATTTATATAAATGCATATCTCTACTCATGCAAACTCATGCATGTAATATATATAAAATATTCAAATGAGGCAATTGGCATAGCACATTTTATTAGGAAAAATGTTCTATTGATTATAATTAATCACTAAACATAAACCAACATTGATATTAGATATCTTTAATTCTGCAGATAGTGCTGCACAAATTTGAGATGATTTTTTTAACTATGTATGGTACTTTATTTATATGAAATAAGGTTTCTTTCAAATATGCACACACTCCAAAAATAGCTTTTTGAGATTTTTGCAACAATAGCTGTCTCTAAATGCAATGTATTACATTTATAACATGATTCAAATTACATCCTGTCTTTCACTGCAGAGACATCCATCTTCACACAGAGAATGATGCCGCCAAAATCATGCACTTTAAATATTTTTCCATAATGGGTATGAATTTGGTCATTTACTCTCTTGGTGGGTTTCCCTGGCGTTTGAATCCCAGTGCGCAATGCGCTGAAAGTTTTTTTATGGTGGTAGGGATTTGGTCTTTCTTAAAACACAGCAAAGGTAACTGGTGGCTGTAGAGGTTCAATTCCATCCAATCTGGAAATTTAAAAGTGCAGTAAATGGATAAAATGCATACCTACAATAATTGTACATGAAACCAGGTATACATGAGGTGAAGTGAGCATTTTGATGGGTCGTTGGGGTTTTTTTTTTTGTTTTTTTTTTTTTTAAACTAAAACAAGTATACCCAGATTGTGCTGTACTTTGAAGATTTCAAGAATGCTTTCGGGAAACTTTTTAAGATTTAGTTTCAGAGGATAACCTGGAGAAAAGCCTAAGCTAGAATGTTAGTGGACGAGGAAGGGGAGTACATTTTCAGGAAGTTAGACTAAATTCAAGGGCCTTTTGTAAAATGTGAAACATATAAATATGATATTCAGGTTGGTACTTGCATTACTTTTTAGAAAAGGTGGCAAAGCGATTTATTTATTCTCTAGTAAAGCATATTTAGCTCTGAGCAATTAAAACTTAAAAATGTTATATTAGCCAATTGGAATTTACAGATTTATGTTTCAGGGTGAGAATCTAGGCAGAGGCGATGGGGATTGTTGACAGCCAGGGCAGTAGACTGACACCAAAGAGTCAGCTATGGAGACCGGTGACCATGGCCTGATGTGCAGGTTTGTCATTAGAATCATGACGAAAGGGAGAAAACGTGACATATTTAAGAAGATGGTAGTGAAATCAATTGAGAAAAAAGGAAAAAAAATTATAAATTTTTTGTGAGTATAAAGAAAATGAATTCAGATAACGAAATTATTAGTTGTGGCTAAGTAGACAACCTGCTTTCTCATGCTGGTTTTTTTTTTTTTTTTTTAAATATTTATTTATTTATTTATTTATGCAAGCACTGGGCACAGTCAGAGGCACAGGAGGGTGAGAGAATTCACCAGAGCCAGAGAGGGGAGCAGAGCAGGCAGAAGGACCGAAGTACACTGCTGAGGGGAGCAGCAGGCGGCAGGAGAGGTCTGCGCGCCATGTGGGACCCTCCTCCGGTGGCTGGGGAGCAGCCGGGGATCGAACCGGCGCTGCAGAGGCTGCGGGCAGCTTCGCAACCCAGCGCTCAACCGCTGCGCCACCGAGGAGGCCCTCATGCTGGTTTTTAAAACATGGGTTTTAAATAGCTTATTGCTTTAAATACCATTTCACAGAAAATATTTAAAATCAGTAGGTTAATACAAATTTAACATTAAAAATCATTGAAACTGATACAGAAGAAAGTGATGTGCAAATTTATCAGCTTTTTTTTTCTTTTCTAGAAACAACAGAGGGAGCTAGTGAGAGGGAAATCTTGTAGTATCCGGGGCTGTTAAATTTTCAACCTAGTTTTTTTCCTATCATATTTTATTTGAAATGAATAGATTTTTTTTTAACTGAATTTAAGTTTTCTGGTAAACATGTGTGAATTTGTTTAATCTGATAAAATTAGGAAGTTTCTAAAACTTCCGTGTTAATTTAATTGAAAAGCAAGTCATAATTATGACCATTGTTTTATAACTTCTATTCAACTAGAAGTTATAACACACTTCGAGAAAGCATGGGAATTTGATTGAACCATATTGCTCACTGTAAGCTCTTGAGTACATTATGGGCTCTAGGATCCTTTCTTTATCTTCAGTTGAGATAGTCACATCACTGTCCTCTAATCTACTTTATTTTGATCCTCATACAGTAAGTATTACATATTCTATTCTCAAAACACCAGTTGGAACTAATTATTAAAAAGTCAGTGTTCGAAACTCCAGTGGATGCCACATTTCATTATATTGTAGTTAAAGGAGAAGAGAGGCTGATATACCCGCTTGTCCATATTCTCTCCAAAAAACTTTGGCTTAGCTTATTATCCTATTTCTTATAGGTACTAAATTCAATTAAATATTTTTTTCAACCCTGTATAGTACAAAGCTCTGTACTGTGTTTTACAATAATGAAAAGTGAACAAACTTAAACATAGTCTCTCTCTGTTTCCTGGAAGTATGAAAATCTAGAAAAATTTCATTGTGAATAGCTGAGATACTGCCTTCAGATTTAGGGGTGAATCTATAAACATCCCATTAATCCCTTAAAAAGTTTTTACTAAATCAACTTCTTTATAGGAGTGAATTAGATTTACAAATTCACTTTAAGAAATGATGTTCATCTTAAACATGTTACATATTTTTCCAAATTCCACAGGTGCCTCATTCACTATTACTAGATTTGGCAGTCCAATTATTACTGCTTATTTAGATTCTTAACTTTAGTGATACAAGCCTTCACGGGCCCTTTATTTTTTTCCTTTATTCAGTTTTTCATGTAGTTTTTACTGAATGCCTATTGGGTACTAGAGATTGAAGAGTAAGATTATGATCTTTATTTTCTTGTTATCTAAATCATACTTATTTATCCTTCATCTTTATAAATCAATGTCTTAAAATTGTTTACCCATTTTGAGACAGTTGTCATTTTATAAGTTGCTTCTGAAATAAACGCAGTGTTTCCAGCTTTCTTAATTTTCTTTTTTCTTAATTTTCATTTAAACTCTAACTTATTTGCAATGACCACTTAATCTCATTCAGTGTTTTGTTCTGCTGTTATTATTTACTAGTTTTATTCAGAAATAGATCTTTATCTTGCATTTTGAATATATATCATTTGTGACTACTATTTGTTTTCAATTCAGCTTTTTGTTTTTTACTGTGAGACATGAATTTAATTCCTTAGTTGTGTGTAGTGTTCAAAACTACTTGGTTTCATGAATGGTGCCCATTTTTTGAATAAGCTATTGTGTGATGTATAGATTTGCAGGATTTTAAAAATAACTCATTCCAGTGCATATTTTAAGGCTAATTTAAAATGAAATCAGAAAAAAAATTTTACTGTAGAAATTTTGAGAGAATTAACTGAAAAGCTACTAGGACTGAGATTTTTATTCAGTAAGATGATCTTTTGCCAAAGTAACATCATAAATTACATAGTGTCCTAATGTTAGAAATAACCAATTAGGGTATATAAAATAATGTAACCAAAATAATAATGCATATGGGAAAAATTTAGAAGGTACACGCCAAACTGTTGCTACTGAGAACACAATTGGATTTAATTTATTCTCTCTATACTTAGTTTGTTTTTGCAATAAATTTATATATGTTTGTGTATATATTTTTGTGTATTACTTCTGTAATTGTAAATTAGTGTATTTGTTAGTGAATAGTTTGAAATGGTTTCTGATCAACACTGTTTTCCAGGGTGCCCAGGAACGGATAGATAGTTTGCGTCGATCGGGAGTGATCCATGAAAAGCAGATTGCTGTGTCCGTAGAAAACTTCATTGCAGAGTTGCTGCCTGACAAGTAAGAGGCTTATTGTTTCTCTTAGGAGATATGAAATAGGGGATTAACACTGAATACCCAGCAACAAGTATGTCTTATTTTAGAACCAGAGGAAAAGTGTGTTCTGGTTTAACTGTGTCACTTAACTAGCTATGGACCACACATTTTCTATCCTTTGTTTTTTATTGTAAGATGAAGATAGTAATGACACCGTGTTCTAAGATTGTTTTAACAATCACTTAATGTAATAGCACTAAATGTGTTACAGGTGTTTCGGCTTACGTGTAACTGACCACCACTGACAAACACACTCATCTAGGGTTATTCAGAGTAGGAATGGTGGGCCTCCCCGGTGGCGCAGCGGTTGAGCGTTGGGTCGTGAAGCTGCCTGCAGCCTCTGCTGCGCCAGTTCGATCCCTGGCTGCTCCCCGGCCACTGGAGGAGGGTCCCGCATGGCGTGCAGACCTCTGTGGCGCAGACGGTTGAGTGTTGGGTCGTGAAGCTGCCTGCAGTCTCTGCTGCGCCGGTTCGATCCCCGGCTGCTCCCCGGCCACTGGAGGAGGGTCCCGCAGACCTCGCCTGCCGCCCGCTGCTCCCCTCAGCAGTGTACTTTGGTCCTTCTGCTCCCCGCTCTGGTGAATTCTTTCACCCTCCCGCACTTCTGACTGTACCCAGTGCTTGTATAAATAAATAAATATTAAAAAAAAAAACAGTATGAATGGTGTAAGAAGGCCTGGTGGCAGTCAGGTTGGAGTTTTACTGAGCACTATTGGCATCTATTTCATTTTGAAAAACCTCCAGATGGCATAATTCATCATCATTTTTGAGTAGAGTGTACTTCTTTCTCAGGGAAGAGATTTTTTTTTTTTACAATATACTGAATTGATTTATATTGAAATAATTTACCAACTGTTGAAATCAGACTTTTGTAATCATATTGTGACTATTTTCATTTTTAAAATTTTACTTTATTTAGTATCAAATAACATTGTGCCTAGTATACAAACATGTAGGAGCGATTTCAGATGGTAAAAATGAGTATTGACTGCAAAAAACATTACTAGTATGTCTGACGAGTCTAACATAAGCAGAAATAAAGGTACTTGACAACAATACAGTGAAAGATAGAAGAGGGAGAGCAGAGGAATAATATTCAGTGAGTCTCCAGTATTACCAGAGTCATACTTTTCACTACAATAAAACAAAAGACACTGTAAGGTAGACATTAAATGAATAGCCAAAGCTTAACAGAAGGGGGAAAGAGAAATAGTAATGGTCACTGGATGGTTCCATGATGTTTACATAGAAAATTCAAACTCCTGAATACAGCATTCAATGCTCTTCATAATCTGTCCCCAACATAGTGGTTCATTTCCAATCCCACGGGTGCTCAGCCAAGCTGATATAAACAAGACTACAAAATACACCTTAATCACCTCCACAGTTGTCTTTCACTGATGGTGTCCTACTGTTCTTTTCCACTTAACCAAATCTTACCCACTCTTCAAAATCCTGTTGAAGTGCCACTCGTGAATGTCACTGACGCTAACTCCAGTTACTTTCACTGAAATTATATGTAACATTTTCTATCATCACAAAAGTTACATATAATCATTTGAATACCATCATTTAAGAACTACATCTGTGTATGTATCTTCTCTCAACTGAAGATGGTTGGTCATTTTCTTTCACTAGTCATTCCAGGAGAGTGCCTCGTGAGCGTCCTTGACCAGGGACATGGCCTCTTCCTCTTCCCTGGGACAGACAGCGAGGGGTGGTAGGAAGAGGCAGAAGAACTGAAAGTTCCCTTGGCCACCAGCACTAAGTGAAGTGGCTCTTCACAGGGATGATAGTGATGCGGGTATAGGGGATCTTGAAATTCTAATGTGTATTTGCTCACTAGGAAAGATTTTCCTTTCACCTGCAGTGGGTGTGCTCTTTAGGCGGTCCGTGCTTAAACAGACTAATCACTTCAATTTTTTTTTTTAAAGATTTATGCATATAAGAACTGGGCTGTAAGTCCGGGTGCAAAGGGGGTGGGGGGGTTTAGAGAATTCACCAGAGAGAGTGGAGAGCAGGCCAGGCGGATCTACTGAAATAGGGGAGCAGCAGGCGAGACAGGAGAGGTCGTCTGCGCCATGTGGGTTGCTCCCTGGCTGCCAATAGCTTGATAGCACTGTCTTTAACCCTTGCACCACCAGGGAGGCCCCACTGCAATTATTCTTTACCATCTGCTTTAGATACAAATCATGGAAAATAACAGAATGTTAGTATACCAAATTATTTAATATTCTTCAATTGAAAGTTCATTTTTTAACAATGCTGGCTTTCTTTTCTCAGGTGTAGTCCCCATAGAATTTCCACCACCAAGTCACCCGTGCACCATAATCCCTTGTGCTTTTCCCTCCCTCGTTTTGACCCCTCTCCCTTCCCCCTGCAAGAATGTTACCTTTTTTTTTTTTTTTAATCTGATGACTTATTTGGTTCTCTTATATTCCTCCTAAAATGGTTTGTCCATTGCACATTTGATTGCCCTTATTGTACTTCTGTCCCCTCTGAGCAATGAATTCTCTTGGAATTAAACCAACAGTCATTTGACATACTGTTTTTGTGAACTGTCCTCTTAAAAATTGATTAGAAAAACATTTCCTTTTTGAAATCTGCTAATGTTTTGTCTGAATGGTAATGCTTATTTTGCCTATTCTCTACAGCTTCTTTTTGGCATATAAACTTGAAACTCGTGTTCCGTTACAGATGGTTTGACATTGGTTGTTTGATAGTTGAAGATCCTGTCCATGGTATTCATCTAGAAGCATTTACACAAGCCACACCAGTGCCTTTGGAATTTGTACAGCAGGTTAGTTTTTTCCTTGTCGTTTTACACTCTAGAGAAACATCATGATTTTTCTTTTTTTCTAGGTTTTTATGGTTGTGTTCCCTACCCTGGGATCAGAGAGAAATTTCTCTCTTCTGCTGACTGTATGTTCACCTTCCTTCCACTTTGCCCTTTTTCTAATGTTTTATTCCACATATCGCCTCCTTTTCCTTCTCCTTTGACTTGATCGTCTTCCATCTTTAATCTGTTCGTGTTTAGAAACCACAGATGGTAAGTACATGCCTTCAGGCTTGCTTTATGCAATGTTCTTAAATGTCACTCACATGAAATGTAAATATGTTCATCAGAATTTCTGTACTCCTAAAGGGCATTTTGTTGACTTCAAGTCCTTCATTTTATACAGTTTTCTTCACATTTTTACTTCTGCACATTGTTGAAGCCATTGGGTTCCCTCCTGAGAAAATGCACATACACACTTGCCCAAGGGTGCATAGAATCCCTAAAAGCAACCTGTGTCCTTAGGGGTTTCAGTTGAGGAGAGGACAGAGAATTGAAGCTCAGAATTTTGAAATGTTTCTGTATACTCTAATTTTTAACTAGTTTCAGAAGTTTAAGGAGATATTTTTATAGATGTGAACGTTAAGCCCAGTCCAGTAGGAAGGTGATTCAGAGATGACAAGCAGATACCGTGCGTACCACCGTATCGATCAACTGGAAATAAATAGTGTACATGGTTTTCTCTTTAAGCAACCCGTGTTTGTTTCATTTGCCTGATTTTCTACCAAACTAGTGCTCCGAGGAGGCCCTCCAGCTGCCCCTTAGGAGACAGACACTGTTGACTCTCGCAGGAAGAAATGATGCCCCGCCGTCCACATTCGCGCCCTCTGTCCCGGCCGTCACGTACACCCTAGGTCTCTGCCTCCCCACTGGGTACGAGGAGCCCGGGCCCGAATCGGGTGTGTGCCGCGTCCTGGTGGAGCCGGTGGAGCTCCCGGGGCTGCCGGCGTCACTCTCACAGGTCCACCGTTTTCAGGACCTTCCTGCCAGGGAGCCGGTCACGTGGGTATACGCAGCCGCGGCCCTCCTCTTCTCCGTCTCTCTCTTGTCTCATTTCCCTCCATTCTCTCTCTCGCCGTGTCACCTCTTGGTCTGTCATCTCTGTCTCTGTCTCTCTCTCCTTATTCTATCTTTTGTCTGTTATTTCTCTGACATGTCTCACTGTCTCTCGGCTCTTCTTCCTGTCTTCTGCCGTCTCTCTCGTGCTAGTCTCTCCCATCTCTGTCATCTCTTTCCAGTCGCTCTCGCTCCTGTCTCGCCAGGCTCCCTCCCTGGTCTCTCATCTGTCTCCTGTCTCTCACCTCGCTTTCTCCTGCTCGCTCATCTCTCTAGTCTCTCTGCTGTCGCACTCTCCCGCATCTCTCCCTAGTGTCTCGCTCCTCTATCTCTGTCTGTGTGTCTCTGTTTCCGTCTTGTCCTCTCCGCTTGTCTCTCTCAGCGTCTGCCTCTCCACTGTCTCTTTCCGGGCTGTCTCTGCGTGTCTCTCATCTGTCTGTGTCTCTGCGTCTGTCTTTAGTGTCTGCATTTCTTTCTCTCCATCTTGTGTCTCTCTTCCTCTCTCTCCTGTATCTCTGTCTCTCACCGTCTCCCTCTCTCTCCTGTCCCTCTCCTGTCTCTCCAGTACCTCTCATCTCTCTGCTCTCTTGCTCTCCCCCTAGTGTCTCTCTAGTCTCTCGCTCTCTCCCCGTCTGTCCAGTCTCTTCTGTCTCTCTCGCCTCATTTCTCTCTAGTCTCCCTACTGTTTCTCTTCTGTCACTCTCCTGTCACTCATCTCCACTCTCTCACCTTTCTCTCTGCAGTCTCTCCTGATTTCCAGTAACATCTCTCTAGCCTGCTGGCTCTCTCGTCTGTCTCTTCTCATGTCTCTCTCTCTTGCTGTCTCCCCTTCTCTCCAGTAACTCATCTCTCTAGTCTCTACTGTCTCTCTCTAGTCATTCTCTCCTGTCGCTCTCCCGTCACCCTTTCACCTGTCTCTTTAATCTCTCCTGTCTCTGTCTCTCCTGACTCCCTGTCTCTCTCTAGTCTCCCTTTCTAATCTCTCCTGTCTCTCCAGTAGTTCTCATCTCTCTCCAGCCTCCTTGTGTCTCTTTAGTGTTTCTCATCTCTCGCTCGTCTCTCCAGTCAGGCTCTCCTGTCTGTCTCGTATCTCTCTCGTCACTCTCCTGTCTGTCTCTCCTGTATCTCTGTCTCTCTCACTATGTCCGTCTCTCTCCTGTCTCTTCCTCTCCCTCTCTCTCCAGTAACGTCTCCTGTCTCTCCTCTGAGTCTCTACTGTTGCTGTCTCCTGTCTCTCTAGTCTCTCCTGTTTCTCTTCTGTCTCTTGCTATCTCTGTCTACTGTCTATCTCACCTGTCTCTCTTTAGTCTCTCCTGTCTGTCTCTGGTCTCTCCATTAACTCTCTAGTGTCTCTTTATTCTCTCTCCTGTCTCTCTCGTGTCTCCTGTGTCTCCCTCTAGTCTCTTTCTCTCCAGTAACTCCTGTCTCTCGCTCTCTCCGTCTACTGTCTGTCTCAGAATTCTCTTTCCTGTCTCTCCAGTAGCTCTTAGCTCTAGTCTCTGGGCTGTCTCTCTCTCGTCTCCTGTCTCCAGTGTCTCTCTCTAGTAGTCTCTCCTGTCTCTCTCTCTAGACTCTCCTGTGGCTCCAGGACCTCATCTCTCGAGAGTCTTTACTGTGTCTCTCTAGTCATTCTCTCCTGTCTCTCTCCTCTCCGTCTCCCCCTCTCTCCCGGCTCGCTCGCTCTCGTCTGTCTCACCTGTCTCGTCTCCTGTCTCTGTCTCTCTCCTATCTCTTGCTAGCTCCCCTTCTCTCTAGTCTCTTTACTGTCTGTCTCTCCCGTCTCTCTAGTCTCACCAGTCACTGTCTCCTGTCTCTCCCGACTCCCTTTCTCTCTCCAGTCTCTTCCTGTCTCCAGTCTCTTTCTCACCTTTCGCTCGTCTCTCCCGCCAGTCTCTCCAGTCTTTCTCGTCTCTGTCTCTCGCTGTCTCCCTCTCTCTCCTGTCTGTCCCGGCACTCTCATCTCTCTCCTGTCCCTCTCCAGTCCTCTCTACTGTTGCTCGCTCTGGTCTCTTGCTCCCCCCCCCCCCCGGCCGCCCGTCTCTCCAGGATCTCCGCTGTCCCTCGCTACTTTCGCGCTCCCCCCTTCCTTCCCGTCTATCCAGTCTCCTGTCTGTCACGCTCTGGCTCTCGTCTCCCCAGTCTCTCCCGTCACTCTCTAGTCTCTCTCGGGTCTCTAGTGTCTCTGTTCTCTCTCTAGTAGTCTCTCCGGTCTCTCCAGTAACTCTCATCCCCTAGTCTCTCTCCTGTCTCTCCCTCTCCCCTGTCTCTCTTTAGTCTCTTTCTCGTTTCTTCCGCCTCTCCTGTCTCTCGCAGCCTCCGTCTGTCTACTGTCTGTCTAGCCTGTCTCGCTTTAGTCTCTCCTGTCTCGAATGTCTCTCTATTCTCTCCGGTCTCTCTCTCTACTCTCTCTGCCTCTCTCTAGTCTCTCCAGTAACTCATGTCTCTCGCTCTCTCCATCTACTGTCTGTCTCACCTGTTTCTCTTCTGTCTCCCTCCTGTGTCTCCCTCTGGTACCTCCTGTCTCTCCAGTAACGCTCATCTCTAGTCTCTGGGCTGTCTCTCTCTAGTCTCCTGTCTCTAGCGTCTCTTTATTCTCTCTCCAGACTCTTCTGTCTCTCCAGTAACTCGTCTCTCTCTAGACCATCCCTCCTGTCTCTTTAGTCTCTTATCTCTCTCCTGTCATTGCCCTGGCTCCTGTCTCTCTAGTCTCTCCTGTCCAGTAACTCCTCTCTCTAGTCTCCTGTGTCATCTCTAGTCTCTTACCTGTGTCTCTCTTACCTCTCCTCTCTCCCTCTAGTCTCTTCTGTCTCTGGTCTGTACCTGTCTCTCTGTCTCTGTTTCTCTAGCATCTGTATTTCTCCATCTGTCTGTGTCTGTCTCTTTGCCTCAGTCTTTGTGTCTGTGTTTCTGTCTCTCCGGCTCTGTCCTGTTGCTCTGTCTTTCCATGTCTCGGTCTCTGTATGTGTTTTTGTCTCTGATTCTGTGTCTGTCTCTCATCTCTATGTCTCTCATCTCTACCTCGTCTGTTATCTCTCAGTTGTGTCACCTCCTGTCACCTTGTGTTTGTGTATCTCTGTCATGTCTGTTTCATCTCTGTCTCTGCTCTCTCGCCATCTCGTCCCGCTGTGTCATCTCTGTCTCTCATCTGTCCTGTCCCTCTGTTGTCTGTGTCCTGACAACCAGCCTCTGCATCTGTTGCTGTCTTTGTGGTAAACCCCGTGGCTCGCCGTGGAGGGGCGGCTGGGAGGCTGTACTCACCCGCGCGTCCGCTTCCGCCTGCGCTGGGGGTCGGACCGTCTTAGGCTGACGTGTGACGTTGCTGCCAGGGTGCGTGGGCAGGCCTAGTGCTGTGCGTTACCACGTAGGCGAAATGGCCCCCAGTGACATACGGTCTCTGTCCGCGGACAGACCCAAGGAAGGAATGGCAGCCAGTGGCCGGGTCCCCAGACACCTGCCGTCACTTCATCGTCTCTTAGGCTCACACCGTGGCTCTCGCTCAGGCGCCCTCGGCAGGCCTGGTGGTCACACAGGCTGGGCAGCTGTTCTCCTGGGGGCCCTCGTCTCCCCCAGCCTCGAGGGACAGGAGCCACGGCTTGGCCGTGTAGGACCACCAAGTCCGGGCCTCCCCTCTCGATGCAGTGCCGGGCAGGGCCTCCGGGCAGCTGTAGTGCCGCGGCCCAGGGGAGTCCTGCGTCACGGAGCCCTGGCAACCCCCGTTCTCCACCCCTGACGTCTTCCCCGCTCTTCTGCGAAAGCTTTGCCCCTCCTGTGAGGGGGACAGCCGAGGGCCGTGACTAATGGGACGAACCCAGGCGGCTGCCGCTCAGGTTTCTTCCTGTCCTCTCTAGCGTCTGGCTTTTCAGAGGTCTCCAAAGGAGTAAATAGACTAGACGTAATGGGGTCACTGTGATGTGGTGGGGCACCAGCAGAAAGCCATGGCGGTCGTTAGTGCTGTGTTCATTAAAATT